CTAAATATGTATTGAATGAATAAAAAGGTAACACTCTTCAGAACAATTCTTGGCACCCTCTTTTCCTCCATGCAAAACCAAGAGGTCTTTGTGAATCTACCTGTCTGTATACCCTCTCCTCTGGTGAGGTACCTGACAGAGGTACACTTTTCTTCTGACTCAGCACTTCTACTGAAGTCTTCGCTACTCAGTACCTGCCAAGCCTGTCCCTACATTTGCAAGATCCATGGTAGAGTTTACGTGGCCAGGTCTGTCAAACTGAGCAGAAAGGATGTCACCAAAGAGGAGATTTGATGAAGCCATAATAAATGCAATGTAAAGGATCACTTCTGATGGCTTTGAAAAATCATCTACAGGGGCCAATGTTGTGGTACAGCAGGTGAAACCACCACCTGCAGTGCCAGCATCCCCTATGGGCTCTGGTCCCCATCCTTGCTGCCTCACTTCTCATCCAGCTCCCTGATAGTGCACTTGGGAAACCAGTACAAGGTGGCCCAAGTTCCTGGCACCCAGCCACCCCTGTGGGAAACCCAGAGGAAGCTCCTGGCTCCTGGCTCCTGGCCTAGGCCTGGCCATTTGGGGTGTGAAGCATCAGATGGGAAATTTTATATATATATATATAATATTTCTTTCTCTTTCTCTCTGTAACTCTGCCTTTCACATAAATAACTAAATCTTTTTTAATAAATCATCTCCAAAGAAATTGACAAAAGCAATTGAGTAGTGCTTCATGATGTCCAGTTGCTGATTCTCTGGTACATTCTTTAGGATCTTTTCCAGTGTTTACATTCTGTCCATCCCTACCTAATAATTCAGTTTTTCAAAAGCAAACACAGCTATTCCTAGGTGCAGCTTTGTTGCCTTGGGGGCAGGCCTTAGTGACAGCTGTAAACATTTGATTCAAAGCTGATATAAATACTCTACTCTTGAACTGAATAAAGGCACACTTTTGTCAGTCTCTTGTTTTTTTTTTTTTTTTTTTTTTTTTTTTTTTTTAAATGCAAAGGCCAAGCCTGCCTAGACAGAGACTTTGAAGGTCAGACTGCCAATAGCATCCTACTTCAGAAGCTGACAAAGCAACCTGTGCTGTTTGGCTGTGGAGGAAGTCAGGGGTCCCTGCTCGTCTTGGAGAGCTCAGAAGTATGCTTTGTGTTTCGTCCTTTGTTTCACTTCTCCAAGGATGCCAGGGTATCATCCAGCACATTATTTACCCAGCACTGGAGTCACTGGTTGACAGAAATCTGACGAATGAATGCAGTTCCCCACAGACCATAATGAAAAGCTCAAGAACCATTTTCTTTAGGAGTTTGACTAGATACGTTGGAATCCGATTGTTCATTTTAGTATATGTTATAATGCCACAAAAATCATTACTGCCCATCATAGATTATAAAAAACCCTCAAAATATTTTTACAACCTTTGAATAATTTCATTGTGGTTTGAATCTCAGACTACTTAGTCAATTGAACAGTCATCTGGGAAGTTATATAGCAATGGGCAAAAATATATGCTAAAGTGATTATACCTGTTAAAGTTTCTCTAAAATTTCAACTTTCAAAGCTTTTCATTTCCTCTACTGCCTCTTTTTATTCCTGTATTGGATAAAAGACTTATCTTTATGTAGGAATGTCACTAAATTCAGAAATGACCAAAAAATAGAGAATTCAAGTTCTAAAAGTCTACACTGTGGAAAATTGTAACTTGGAAAAAGTGATGAGACATTTGCAGGGAGAGGAAGCCAGGCCAGTAGCCCTAATAACAGGCTCTTGAGTCATCATCAGATACTTCTGATAACAGATGGAAGTCTTTGGAGTTCTTGAAATCCTAGAAAGGATTGATGATCCTGCTCATTTTTACAATTAAAAGTTTTATCTTCATCATCATTAACCGGTCAGCTTAACAGTTCGATCCTGAGGAAAGCATGGGAGAAACTGTCAACTAATCAATTTGCAGTCACCTCAAAGAGGAAGCAGCAGTGGGGTACAATCAGCCTCTCTGCTTAGAGAGACAAACTGTGCCAAGCCAATTTAATTTCCTTTCATAGTGGAGTGACAGGACACTCAGACAGGGAGAGACAATAGATGTAATCTACCCGTACTTGAAAGAGACTTTCCCCAATACCTCACAGAAAACTGTTATCAAAAAGGTAGAAGAATGTGCCTGGGTGGTTGGGCAGGTGGGTTATGAGTGAGCTCAGAGACAACACGGGACTCATAGATGCCAGAGAGTCTATGTGTGACTTTCAGAAACACGTCATTCTGCATATGTGAAAGCCATTCTACAATAGTCCCAGGCAACAGAGTACACTTGAATGGAGGGCTTCGTTGTTATTCAAATTTAAGTTTTGAATAAAGTAGTTCAAAAGGTGAAAAATGTTTTTCACTGTGTAAAAAACATTTTAATATTTCCATCAATGTGTACTTGGAACTTTTTCTTGAATTTCTAGACAATAATTTTGCTAAAATATATATTTATGTATTTGAGTGAAAGAGAGGGAGAGAAACACTCCCCACCAGTGCTTCACACCCCAAATGACAGCATCGGGCAAGCATCAGGCAAGGGCCAAAGCCTGGAGCTAGGTATTCAAGTCTCATGTGTGTGTCAGTATTCCAGTTACTTGAGCCATCACTGCTGCCTCCTAGGGTCAGCATTAGCAGGAAGTTGCAATTGAACCCAAGCAATCTAATGTGGTTCTTAGGCATCTTAACTGGCATTTTAACCAATAGTTTAAAAGTCTGCTCTGAGCCTGTCATTTTATTTTTTTTTTTTTTGAGCCTGTCATTTTATAATTAGGCAGGACTTAAAGTAAATTAAGATGGCTAAAGTTCCCAGATTTTACATTAAAAAAAAACCAATAGTTTAATAATTCCTAAATGTCTAATTGTAAATGAATAGATACATGCAAAAGTAACAGATAATTTAAAAAGCATTTACTACCTAGTAACTTAAGATTTCATAAATGCTCATGCAACGTTAGTATTTTTATTTCATATTACTGAGTTTTTGGAGTGATTTTGGTCATTTGTCTCAGTCTACACTGAATTAGGATTCTTCTTGGAAAACGTTTCAGAATCTTAGCTCCATGAGAGACTTACAGACTTTCAAAATACTGAAATTTGCAACCACAGGGAAATCCTAGAGGTGTCTGGAAAGTGAGCCACGCTGTCATTTCAATTCCCTTCTCCTGTGTTTTAACAACCCCATCACTGATGCTTCAGGCTGTGCTTATAGCTAAGTGCTCTAGGACATCATAACTACACCATTTAACGTAGCTATAGAAAAGTCACACAGGATGGAAGGGAAAAACTGGATCAACCACAATAATTAAAGAAATGCAAATGAAATAAATGGTTGGTAAATATGTACACTGGCTAAATTAGGATTTTAAATTATAACACACACAATGATGTCAAGGTTAAGAGGATAGTGAATACTCATAAGAGCTGACTGCTTTCTGAATTGGAACAATCCTTTTATAAAGATATATCTAATAACATGGGAAATACAAAGATGCACAGATAGTATGCTTAACGCCTTAATCCCTCTTGTGGGAATTTATCTCCAGCAAATAACATGGTTGCGAAAATGTGCCCTTTTACTTATTTAAGTAAGCATTAAAACCGGGGAATGTCTAATGCATAGCTTCAGGGGAATGGTTGAGTCAATGTTATCGACGCCGTGGAATATTTTGCAAAGCACAAAATTGAAGATTGGGAAACCTGATGCAAAATAATAACAAGTATGTAAAAATCGCACATTGAGGTACAGCGAAATAGTGTTACAAGAGAAGGAGTTAGATAACTTGACATACAGAGCTAACACTGCTCCAGACTGACCACACGCACTCGCTCCTTGACCAAACTTTTCTCTTTTGCATATGCTGTGACTTTTATTCACAACAATTGTGATCAAAAGGCTAAACAGAAATGAGACAAAACTCAGGAAGCTCAACTTGAGATACCCTCTTCTTGAGGTCCTGTCTGTCCATGCCCCCCACCCACTGGTTTAAGCTACAAGGGAGCATTTTTGCCCTTTTAGGGACCCCAGGGCGGGTCTCTGGGGCTGGCAGGAGGCAGCACAAAGCAGGAGAAGTTCTCTTTGCTCCTGTCACCGCTGCTGGGGCTGGCTCTTCTTGGAACTTGCAGCCGAGGTCTCAGCCTCCCACGCTGTCTTGCTGGGACCCCGCTTCTTGCTCTGCTGCTCCCTGGACGCCATTCCCTTCTTCCTGGTGCTGAGGGTGCACGGGCAGGCCACAGGGGCTGGCTGGGGAGCTGGGAAGGCGGGTAGCTGTGGGAGTGGGGACCCTCAAGGGCAACCAGCCAGGCGGGGACAGTCTGGCGTGAGGGCTGCCCTGCAGGCATTCGGCTGTGGCAGCCGGGACGTGAAGCGGTGCGGGGGCCAGGTTCACTCGCAATCTTCCTCAGGTCCATGTGCACGGGTTGGCTTGGAAGAGGGGAGAGAGTCCGACCTGGGACGGTGGCGCCTACATGAACCGCCCCTATCGCATTGGTGTCTGGGGCACCGGCCAGCATGAGGGACACTGATTGTTGGACAGGGCAGCGCCCAGAGCTGCGCGGTGTTCTGGGACTGCTGGACGTCGGCGAGAACCCAGAGGCGCTACAGACGTTATATTTCCGTTATTTCCGTTGTCTTTGCCTTCTGCCCAGAAATCTCCCAGCGCAGCAGGATGCGCACGGCGCGGCGGCCCTGAGTGTTTAACAGAGACTCTTTTTCTGTTTTTATTTTGTTACAGCCTGACTGAAAGCCCAGACACGCCAGGTAGTTCTGAATCCTGATGAGAACCCGGAGGATGGACATCAGCTACTTTATTTCCCGTCCTTGCGCTGTTAGATTCTGCAGCTCCACATGATGGGTATGGCGCTGCCTCCTTCATTGTTTGACTGGCACTCTACAGCCTGGCCGAAAGCCAGGCCTGGCAAGTATTCTCGGATTTCGGGATCCTTGGGACAACCGTAAGCTCCAGAGAGTTCCTTCGCTTATTTTGGTTCCTTCCTGGCCCAGAGCGAGCCACCGGTGGTCCACAGCTCCTCCAGCGCGGGACTGTCCCTGGCATTTGCGGTCAACAGTCTTCCCAGGAGCTGTTAAAGCCTGGCACTTATATAAGATGGAACCTGGTACTATCCACACTGCTCCAGGGTCTCCCCAGCAAAGGGCAGGGACCTTGTCACCGTGGTGTATAGGACCACCCCCAGGCTCCAAACATCAGCTTTGAATCCATCGTGTTCTTCCTCCAGGAACACTTCTGGGTCACAGTATTCAGGAGTCTCACAAAACACACTAAGCTGTTGTCACTCAGTGACCCTGCAGCTCAGCCCAAAGTCAGGCCAAACTTAATGTACAACGTATCCTCAGCAGCTTTTCCAGATTCAAGTCTCTATGTCCATTGCCGTTCTTGTGCCACTGTGCGCAGTTGACGACGTCTGGCTGAACGTCAGACATGCCGCCCGCTCCCGCCGGCTGCCAGGCCAGGGAGCACAGCCGCTCGTCCTGCTGGCCTATTGAGCAGGTGCGCTGTCTGCCGTGTGCTGCGCCGCTAGGGGCCCCATGATGTCGGGTGATGCATGCCCTTCATGATAACCACTTCTCCCTGCAGTGCCCCCAAGCCGGAGAGAGCCCTTGCCTCCTGACGTCCCGGGATCGTCTCTACTGCCACATTCTTTCCCGTTCCCAGGTGCTGGGCTGCCTTGCCCCAGCAGAAGCTACCTTGGCCAATGGTCCTAAGGCCCCTGTAAAGATCATGGAGAACCTCTCCCTTACAAACAAGGCCCTCCATCCTGGTTCCCGTCCAACTAGGAACACTACTAATGGCAGCTGATGAACTACATTATTATATCTAATGAAACAAATGAATATCAGCAATGCTAACTCTAACTAATACTAACTATATTCACTACACAGCAATACTAAGTGGTAAGACTAAGTGCTAACTAAAATTTTAAAAATGAACAAACTGCCAAGAAACATAAATCTCCCTATATTAACTACACTAACAGTGCTGTCTAAAGATTAACAATGGGGCCGGCGCTGCGGCTCACTAGGCTAATCCTCCGCCTTGTGGCGCCGGCACACCGGGTTCTAGTCCCGGTTGCCCCTCTTCCAGGCCAGCTCTCTGCTGTGGCCCAGGAGTGCAGCAGAGGATGGCCCAAGTCCTTGGGCCCTGCACCCCCATGGGAGACCAGGATAAGCACCTGGCTCCTGCCTTCAGATCAGTGCAGTGCACCGGCCGCAGTGCGTTGGCTGGAGTGCGCCGGCCACGGCGGCCATTGGAGGGTGAACCAACGGCAAAGGAAGACCTTTCTCTCTGTCTCTCTCTCTCTCACTGTCCACTCTGTCTGTCAAAAACAAAACAAAACAAAAAAAAGATTAACAATGGGGCAAAAATGAACTGAAAAAAATACAGAGGGAACAAAATCTAAAATTAAAAAAATAGGGAAAAGAGCAAGTAAAATAGACCAACAAGCAAGGGGGGAAATACTAGCTCAGTCTAAGTTCAACAGGTTACCAAAAACAGCCTCCCGAGTAACACATAACATCCTAGACCAAGCAAGGGACTTACATAGGCATCTGGAATTACAAAATGAGATCTCCAGATGAAGTTTGAGCAAGAAATGAACTCATGACAGCCAAGCCAAAATTATAGGCATTTGTAATTTTGTAACAGTGGCTTCTTGTGAAATAGCAGGACATGGACTGAGTTCAGCCCAGCCAGAAACTCATATGCATTTGCATTTTTTTTAATTGAGCAAGAAAGGAGCCAATCACAGCTGCAAATAATCCACAGGAATTTTTTCTCGAGAATCTTTCCACTTGAATGAAAAGGCCTCCAAAAGCTCCTTGTTAAGGTTGATGATAGGGAATGTTTCCTTTTGGGTAAAGCTAAAAACACACTTGATGTTTTCCATAGCCTTTTTATTTCTAGTTTAAAAATAAGTTTTGGCTTTTGAAGATCTCCTTATGTCTACTCCGTCCAATTCAACAAGTAAATCAAGCTTGCTTGTGAATACAAGAAACTGGCGTTGAGGGAGCCGAACTAGAGTATCTGTCCAACTCAACAAGTAAATGGTGCTTGCTTGTGAATACAAGAAACGCGTTGAGAGAGCCGACTGAAGTTGCAAAGTAATTTGGCCCTCCCAAGTCAGTATGACCTCAGAGGATTAAATTTACTGAAACAGAATCTAACGGGGTACAAATAACTGATGGAACAGGAAGCATGGGCTCTACGCTGAGTGAGGTTCGTCCTGGTCAATGAAACGCTGGGCTCTCAACACAATACTTCGCCTCTTTCAGACTCCAGTCAAATAACAGTTTGTAGCTGGTTCGTTGTGCCCACCAAGTAAGTTTTTCAAGAAACTTGTCTGAGATTGATAAAATACCTGGTTATCAGACCTGCAACTAGTTTTAGCACCTGATCTTCTACTCCTGACTTGCCATTACCCATGTGCTCAGCGCTCATGTCCCTTTGGCACTGCTCAAAAGCTGCCCTCACTATGCAGGACTATAGTACTCCAGACCCTCAGTCTGCTGTCGCACTAACTCACTAGTGGATCAAATCTTGTCTTCAAACCTTGACCTTGATATTCTGGTTCGGCACCATGGACAAAGACTGGACTTTCAGTAACAAGTGTGGCGTTCGGCCAGCCAGGAGTTGGCTATCACACCTGGTGGTGTGCAGACCACTAGTGACTTCCAATGGATGGTGCGATTGACTGTAACAGCATACCAGGGCTAACCTGTTCATGCTGCCTAAGTGGTGAGGGGATGACCAAGTCTCCATCTGCAGGATTTCTGCCTTCTAGTGGGGAGAATGAGGATAGTCCCAGCAGCAGACTGAGTCATTTTGTCTCTGTGGAGCTGCCTTCTCTTCCTGGTATCAGTAAACATAAGGACATGGTATCCACAGTATCTACACTGCTAAGCTTTTTGACAAAAAGGAAACAGTTTGTGCAAAAGGCAATGACAACAAGGCCATCTGGGTAAGTCCAGTGTGTACAAAATGACCCTTTGTTCCACACTGATGGGGACTAGGGGATGAGGTTGTGAATTACCTGCAGGCCTTCTCCCTTATGGCCCTCTGAGGGGTATCTGTGCTGCCATGTACATGGTAATTGTGGTTAAGAGCGGCTGGGAGCTGAGAATTCTTGGAAATTACAATCAGGTTGGCCTTGGTTGAGCAAAATTTGTGCATTTTAGGGACTGGCAGATTTGTTTCTGCTGTTTGGTTGTGCCTTTCAATATGGGCGTGGATATGGTACCACCTCAGTACTACACGGATGTCCCCATAGGGAGAATTTTTGCTAATTGGGCTACTCATAGCCAAAATCCCACTACTAAGGCAAAAAAATGGTGAATATGGCATGACTTATGTAAATATTACATTCTAATGAATGAGGAGGTGTGAGGACTCCCTTTTATCTCTTGAAGCCAATTGTAATTCACCAAGGAAAACCCTGGAACAATTGACAGGGAGGAATAAGAGTCACAAAGAATAATACAACAAACTTAGAGAAATGTTTTCTTTTCTGTCTCTTGAGGTATGTTATATATGTGTCACATATCTGTACATGTTGTATGTGCTGTGTACAAGGTTAAGTAAATAAGCTTGAGGTTTCTGGGTAAGAGGAAATAAATGCCTTTAATTTTGTTAACACATTTTGTTCCTGGGTTTGCTGGCACAGCAGGATTTGTGTCTTCAATATTTAAGGTCATAAATATATGAATATGACCTGCAGCCAGCTAGAGATGTTGTGTGTATCAAGTATAGCAATTCACCTGTTGAATGATAACTGTACTGGTCTAAGATCTAAGTTTTTTTTAGTATATAAGTTAGCATGAATCAGATAAATGCCAATGAAACCAAATGTTTTAAAGCTTTTCATATCTTTGACAGAATTTTTTTGAGAATCAAGGTTTCAAATTAAGTCCTTTGACCATGGGATTTCCAACTGGGCCTCTGGGAATTCTACAGGTATGTAACTCTTAGTGCGTAGAGAGATGGCTAATTAGACTCAATTGAAATTGAACAGAAACTTTTCTCAGGTTATAAAATTGTAATCTTTAAATTGCATTTATATAGATATGTTATTGATATAAATTTTCTAGAGGTTGTTTAATATTTGAATCTAGTGTTACTGAGTTGATGCCACAAGCTGTAATTGTTGTCTTAATGATTAAAAGCACTGGGGGCCTTCAGCAAGTCTTTAAGAGTGATCCTCAAGTCAATGTCCTGGAAGTTTGAAAGGACAAAATAGTTTGTGAAGCTGAACTGTGCTTTTTAAAATGCAGTACCCAGTCTCCTTGTTAATTGCTAAACTGTCAGCGACCTAGATTTTAATCATGGTAAATTTAAGTCTTTTGTCTTAGAACTTGTCATCCGCGGTTCTGGTTTTTTCCCTGGAAACACAATCAAGGAAGCCTCTAACAGATATTTGGGAACACTGGTTCCTGACAAAGGGTCGATGGACTAACTAAAATTTTCAAGAACTCTGAGAAGGAACCCAAGCAATTCATGAAACTTCTAATGAAGATCAAACAAGGTGAAAGAATAATTACACAAGACTTAAGGAACTAATAAAATTTGTGGGTTTCTATGTCTTTTACTTAAAGCCTTACTGATTCTATATTTAAATGTTTTGTCTTCTAGGCTTAAATATTTTCCAGAGATTTGTAGAGTTTGCAAAACTTTGGCACTATAACATGCCTGCTATTAGATTGTAACTCTCTTCTTGAGATAACAGATCTGATTTGTTGTAATCTAATTGGTTTTGGACTTTATGCTTGCTGTGTCTCAGAATTCTACATCTTATATCAGTACAATATATTTGCCACAATTAATCACATCCACTTTCCCTATTTTTTTTTTTAATATAAACTCCCTCTACCCCTCCCTGCCTCTAGTAATATATATTCTATTTTCATAATGACACTTTTGGGGTTTTTGTTTTGTTTTGCTTCTGTTTTAGCTTCCACATATAAGAGTGAACAAGTGGTATTTGTTGCTGTATCTGACTAATGTGAAGCATTCTAGTTCCATTCATTATGAAGTGAATGACAGATTTCATTCCATTTATGGCTGAATAGTATTCCATTGTGTCTATGTGATCCATTTTCTCTGTCTGTTCACCTAAGTTATATAGTTTTTTTTTTTTTTGCTGCGCATTAGATTCTACTTGTCCGACTATAAGCGTTTGAAAATAGACATTTTTGTTTGAGTCTCAGCCTTACCACCTGCTGTGTGTTTTAGACATTCCATTACCTCATGAATTTGTGGAAATCAAAGAAGATTGGCCTGAAAGAGTTTTATAAACTGTGAAAGATTGAACAATGTATGCATATGTTGTTTAATCCTTTTATTTTGCATGTATACCATCTGAGAAGTCACAACGATACAACACAGTACATCAGCAGAGAGAAAATCTAACCCCTGGTAGTGGGTAGCAGAGTTCTGAAGCGAGGAGAAAGCCTGCTTTTACTTTTCCCATTGAGTGATCTATTAAAGTCTGAGAATCAGATTTGACTTTTTATTTTTTTCTCTTCCTCAAGCAATTTCTGTTTCTTTTGTCTCATTGCTTAAATTCTCTGTTCCAGAGAATCAGGAGCAGAGGAATTCAGATCCTACAATTCTATATATACTGAAGCATTTAGGAACCTTAGAATGGTATCATTAAGATAAATACATCATTTTACTCACCATGTATTGAGCATCTGCAACATCACCAAGACTTTAGTATGCTTGCTTGTACTCTAACACATCTCTCCCAAAAGAGAAGTTTGTAGAGCCCTTCTTGACACTTGACTGTGGTCTTCCTGCACAGGGAAGGTGGCATTACCTTTGCAGAGGAAGAGTTCTAGGGGGCTACAGACTGCAAGTACTTAAACTATAAAGGCACTTCTTTTATGAATGTTACGAGAGAAACTTCTTTAATCCTATATGGATTTAAAAGAATGAGGTTCATTCAAGAATCACGGAAAATGAAATTAACATTATTTTGCTGCAAAAGCTTTTTAAAATTCATGAACAGATTTTTCATGATACACAATTGTCATTAACTTTCTCAAGATCCCCTTGTATCCATTTTAGCAGCTTTTGTACCAAAGCTAACTTATCTTTTACTTCTAGTTTTCATTCACTTTTTGAAGTATCCTCATCTCTCTCTATATATATATAAATATAGATGTATAAATATCTGCATTAAACTCAATCAATAGTGATATCGCTGGTTTATAGCACACAGCCAGCAAAGACAAGGCTTCAACTTACTGAACTATTCCCTCCCTCCACCTGCACACTTTCCTATCCTACTGTAGTTTTTATGACAGAACCCAGGGAAGCAGGGGAATTCAGAGGCTGGCTGTGGAGTGGTGGTGGAGCAGGTGATGCTGCCACTGTAGTAGTGGCTGACACTGGGAACTGAGCAAAGTAGGATCCAGAGAAGAGAGAGGCAATGGAAAGTGTTTCTCCTCATGTGTGGTAGAGTTGTCAGCTTGGAGAAATGTCTTCTGGTGTCAAAATAGTTTTTCACTCTTATTTACTTCTTTTGAAACTAGACTGCTCACCTGCCAAACATAATTGTTTGTACTTTTACCCGCAGTGTTGACATCCCATTTGGACACAAGTTTGTGCCTTGGCTGCTCCACTTCTGATTCAGCTCCCTGCTACTGCGCCTGAGAAAGAAGAAGATGGTCCAATATTTGGGCCCCTGGCAGCCCCTGGAAGACCAGATTTGGAGTTCTTGGCTCCTGGTTTCCAAGTGGCCCATTCTGGGCTGAATCAACAGACTCTCTCTCTCTCTCTCTGTCTCTTCTCTCTAACTCATATCATTGTAAAAATTTAAGAAACAATGAGGAAGGAGGAGGAAGGGTAAGGTGGGAAATGTCATGTTTTCTAGACTGTGTATATGAAATTTGTTCCCTTTCAATAAATAAGAAAAAAAGACATTCCCCTGCATAACTTTTAACACAACCTTAAATATAGAAGTTTCAGAACACTAACATTACTACCATCCAATTAACCTCACTTATTTCATCAATTGGACCAATACTCTCCCAATAATAAAATAGTTCATGTCTATATCAAGCATTATTGCTGGGTATGCTTTTTAGTCATTTTTAGTCTGGAATAGAATCCCTTTCTTGACTTTTCATGGCACTGACACTTTTTAGGATTAAATGATAGAGTTTTTTTTTTTTTTCCCTAAAATGTCCCATGATTGGACTTTCCTGATTTTTTTTTTTCATAATTGTCAAGTTTGGAGTCTTTGATAGGAAAAATCACAGCAGTAATGTTGTCATCTCACTGCCTCTTCTCAGGTGACATCCAAATTCAATTATTCCCATTAATGATTGCCACCTGTCACTTCATAAATATGGGGTCTACTAAGGTTTACTGTGAGATTACTCATTTATTCTTGTAATTAATTTTTTGAGGGGAAACACTTCAAACTTTGGGAACTTACCATCCGTCTTTTCATCCATCTGTCCATCCATCCATCCGTTCATGACTCTATAGAATAAAAACTTCCAATGTTTTTAAATGGGAATTTATTTCATTTATAATTTCTTCTTTGATCCCGATTTGTCCAGTAGGATCTCATGTAAGTGATATTTTTCTGTGTTCTTTTCAAAGAACTGATAGCTTTTCATTCTTTCCGGCACAGTGAGAATGTGCTAGGCTTCATGGAGCTGTAGAATGAGACATGATCAAGCAGCTCTGCTTCCAGTCAGAGGCCCGTGTTGGGGTCCAGGTCTCAGTTATTTGGATTTTAGACCTCTTGGGTCCTCTCAGTGTACACTGCCAGACAAGAGTATAATTACACAAACACACATGTGTGTGTCTGTGTGTGCATGCACATTGACACAATCTTGAGTTTGTGACAATTCCACATCTACCTAAATAACACAAGGTGTATTGCTTTCCTCCTTTGCATATCTAAAATTTTTCTTAACAGAAATCTGTCATTGGCAACATATTAGCATATTTTATCAATCCCTATATTTCACCAAACCTCCAGCTCTGTTACAAGTAAATCCCACACCCCCACCTGAACTCATTCCAACCCAATGGTAACATTTCTCATCCTATTCAGGCTGTCATCATTGGCTGCCTGTAGTCATGAGGGTCTGTCTCATTACTCGGTCACAGGGATTTTTATTATGTTAAAGGTCCATGCACACACAAACACACACACGTACACACAGAGAAATCTGCCATCTGATGGTTCATTTCCCAAAAGCACACTGCAGAAGGGATTGAACCAGCTTGAAAGCAGGAGCCAGGAACTCATTCCCGGTCTCCCACGTGAGCTGCTTGAGCATTCATTACCTGGTGCCTCCTAGAGTGTGCCTTGGCTGGAAACTGCAATTGGGAGTGACGCTGGGACTCCAGACCTAAGCACTCTAAGGGCCTGGGATTTTGCACAATACCTGTTGTGAGCAATTGAATGATGATGGCCAAAGCTATGGCTGTGGAACATTAACACAGCTCTCACCTCTGACTCTCCACATGCAAGCACACTGGCCCACACACATTCATGTTCCCACATGTCCTCCCCGCCCTTTCAGAGTCAGAGATGCTACACTGATTATCTCAGTTTCCACCATAACCCCAGCCCTGCTGAACACTGGCACCAAAGGTTAGGCCTTCCTAGTCCTTCACCTAATGCTTTAAGTTTTAGCCAATAGTGAAGGGAAAGACAGGCTAAGAGGGGAGTTTTTAACATAAATTTACTTTACTTTTACAGTTGAATAACACTCTATAAACAAACATACACACACACATGGATTTTGTGTACAATTTTTAATAAACCTTGGTATAATTTTTTTTTTCTTTTTCAGTATTTTTGTGTGATGTTTTTAAAAAGAAAACTTTAAGTTTAGGTCAAAAGAGTTTTTTTCCCATTTATTTTTGTTTTTAAAGATTTATCTGTTTGAAAGGCAGAGTTGGAGAGAGGTAAGGAGGGAGGGAGACAGACATACACACACACAGAAAGAGAGAGAGAGAGACTGAGAGAGACTGAGAGATAGAACTCTAATCTACTGGCTTGCTGCTGAAGCCAGGAGCCTGGAACTCCGTCTGGGTCTCTTACATGTGTTCAGGGGTCCCAGTACTTGGGCCATCTTCCACTGCTCTCCAGGCCCATTAGCAGGGAGCTGAACTGGCAATTCATCTTCTGGGACTCGAAGCAGTACCCTTGAGGGATGCAAGCATTGCAGATGGCTACTTAACCTGCTGTGCCGCAATGCTGACCCCTGTTTTTAAAATATAGAATACCTGTATATAATTTTTTTGACAGGCAGAGTGGACAGTGAGAGAGAGACAGAGAGAAAGGTCTTCCTTTACCTTTGGTTCACCCTTCAATGGCCACTGCGGCTGGCCCGCTGCGGCCGGCGCACCGCGCTGATCCAAAGCCAGGAGCCAGGTGCTTCTCCTGGTCTCCCATGGGATGCAGGGCCCAAGCACTTGGGCCATCCTCCACTGCACTCCCTGGCCACAACAGAGAGCTGGCCTGGAAGAGAGGCAACTGGGACAGAATCCAGTGCCCCGACCGGGACTAGAATCGGGTGTGCCGGCGCCGCAGGTGGAGGATTAGCCTAGTGAGCCACGGCGCTGGCCCCAATACCTGTATATTTTTAAGATTAAAAAAAGAAACTTGTCTAGGGAACTGATAAATTTATTGTTTATCTTTACTTACTGAGGTAGTTTTGGGGGTATTTTCTAAGGTTGAGAACCAACTATCAAAAATTGATTTATTTTGCCAACAGTAAATGTGAAAAGCCAACCTAAGCCTTTCTGTAGATATGTAATGTGTTTGTGTGCCAGGTAAGGTGTGGATGTTGGTTATGCATGAAGGTTTTAAAACATGTCTTATAGGCTATTATAGATGAGAAGGAGGAAGAGGAGGAGGAGGGGCAGAGGACAAGGAGGTAGAGTAGGATGAGCAATAAGACAATACAACTATTGAAAACTTGTTATTAAGTGGTTTGGTGATGGTAGATTAGTCTGTAACATGAACTTTTCTCCCTTCCTAGGTTTCTTTTGAATTTGCTATGTAACACGGCACAATGTTTGTGCTGGCCCCTGAATCTCACAGACAGATATTTAATTTGGTAATAATGTGCAAGCTGTCCTCTACCTTGCCAATATATCATTACAAGAGCAGGGTTTCCTCCTGAGGGACTCTTGGCTGCAAATGAGCAAGAACATGAAATATTCAAGTCAGGCTCAGCCCACATAATAAAGGAAGGCAATCAACTATTCAGGCAGATGAGGAAGTAGCAAGGTGGAAAGACAGACGCCTTACGTGGCCCAGGTGATGCTAAATTACCTGTCAACACACTTAGCCCAATAGATAGACACACACACACACACACACACACACAATCCTCATAAGAAGAAAACTAATCTCTGATGAGAAAGACTTCTAGCTGTAAAATGCTATGAATTAAATAAGTGTGTGTGAAATCAGATATTTGATCCTTTCTTGTTAAGGCCCAGATAATCAGGAATGTGTATGCATACCTCTAGTATTGAAACATTAAAATAATTTGAAATATTCCAGGGTAGGTTTGCAATATTCAATGATGTGCTTTTAGTTCTCATTATTGGGAACATTTTGCTATGAGCAGCTCAAGACAAACTAAAATGATATTTCTTACAGCAAGCATTAGCATACCTGCAATATTTAATGACAATAGGACCCTTGACAGAACTTTATAATAGAATAATATGAATTATTGGAATGTCCTGGAATGTTCTTCTTTTAAAAAATCCATCCATCTTCTAACTAACTAACTAACTATATATATATATATATATACACACACATACAGCTGGACAATTGAATTATGACTCTGACCAAATGCTATACAGAAGAAATGATACACAGGGAGCCAGCTCTATGTTGCAGTGGGTTAAACCATTATCTATCTGGTCTGCAAGGCCAACATCCCATATTGGCCCCAATTTGTGTCCAGCTTATCCATTTCTGATTCAGCCCTCTGTTAATGATCTGGGAAAGCGGCAGAATATGGCCAGGTCTTTGGGCTTCTGCACTTAGATGAGAGATCTGGAAGAAACCCTTTGTTCCTGGCTTTGGCTGTGTTGTGGCCATTTGAGGATGAAACCAGCAGATGGAAGATTTCTCTCCCTCTCTCTCTCTGTAACTCTGACTTTCAAAATGACTAATTTAATTTTTAAAAAGGAAATGATACACGGGCTTTTGATATAAAATATTTTTACCTTACCAGAATTCCATTAGATAAATTATTATAATTATCATAATTTGCACAAGAAATATGGAACGGGCTCATATAAGTTTATATTGGAAATCATTTTCCACCAAAATCTATCTCCAAATAAACTCAAGGGGAACTGTGATGCAGTTTGTAGATATTTGCAAAATATTGTAATTTCATCATTTTAATTCATTTGCTGGACAGGAGGCAGATATCAAGTTATGTTTATAGAAAACCACGATGGTATTTAAAATTAACATCTGAAACAAGGAAAAATGCATGAAGCTACACTATGAGATTTTGGTGAAGTATCACTTGCATAGCCTGCAATACCAGGAATGGGACCTATTTGATTAGCTCCAAGACATTTTGTTGATTAAACCATTTTACAGTAAAGAACTATTTTGCTAAGTCCTAAAATCCAACCATTTCTTTATATTCTCCTAGGGTGTACTTTCTATAATATTAACCCAAAATAAGTAGTTAGATTGAAATTTCTGATATCAATTGGCCATTTATTAGACAGGCACCACACAAACTAAGATTGCAGACAATAACAACTTTCACACAAAAATGGCAGCATAAGCCACAAACTTTGCAATATTTATTTTTATGAGAAAATAAATAGTAACCTTGAGCAAAGGGATGGCAAGCTGACACAATGCAAATATTCTTGAATACCCTTAGCTCCCTTGCTATATTTTTATCTTGTTTCCTGATAAGATGGGTAAATAGTAAAGCTGATAATGCTTAAATTGAAGCTCTGAAGTGATGGGCAATGACTGGCAGGATACCCATGCTTAACACCAATTAAGGATAATGCAAATTTATCCGCAGTC